AGCATAATGAACGGAGGGAGGAGAGAGCAGGGTGGTGTTGGCTTGTGATGGGGTCCCTCCATGAGGACCAGCAGGGCGTTGCATGTGCGCCCGGCGGGCAGCCCGGTCCTGGGGCGAAGGCGAAGTCCAGCTCCTCGCTGGGAGGAGAGGGGTGCCTCCAGGTAAGCCAAGGGGAGAGGATGTCTCACCACGCCAGGGTGACATCTCGCTTTTCTTCCAGGGAGAAGAAATCACAACCACCTACTTGGACCAGTCCATGGTCTGGGTGCCTGGGGAAAAGCCCATTCAGAACAAGGAGTTCCTGAAGAGCTCCAAAATTTTTGACATCTGCAGGAACGTGACCATTTACTGGATCCACCCCACGCCGATAGCAGGTACAAAGAGCCATCTCCTCCCCAAAGTGCCCGTGAGCCCCCTCGATGGGAGCAGCCCCACCACCCACCCATGTCCCCTCTGCCACATGCCCCAGCGCAGCACGGTGGGAACCCATTTCCACAGTCTCCCTGTACATCTCAAACACGAACACAATGTTGGCCACAACCATGAGAGAACACGGCCAATGCAATAGCAAGGGCCAAAGTTTCTCTCTGCAAAGCACTGGTCTCTGCTGGCTGCCCACCACCCCGGGCTTTGCAGAGCGGCCACCCTCCTCATAACAAGGCAAAAAAAAAACCCCAAACCCTTTCTACCTGCGAAGAAGCCAGTGCTGCTGGAAATTGGGACGCCTAAATTCTCGTCACCACATGAGCATGAGAGCATGAGCAGACATCTGCATCTCAATCACACAACAGGGTTGCCACCTCCAGCTGCTCGGTACACAGCCCTTGCAGAGGTTGCGGCCTCTCAGATCCGCCGGTGTGATTACCTGCTCTCCCTAACCCACTTCTATCCAAATGAGATAGTTCAAACCCCCTACTGAGAACCCCCCCCCCCCTCAGCAGCCGCAGAGGCGCATCTCACCCCCCACGGGGACCAGTCTGCTCGCAGCCATCGATGGTCCTGGGAGCGAGCAGCCGTCAGAGACCCCCGATGCAGAGGGAGGATGCTGTCCCTGGCTACTGTCCCCCTCCTGCTTCCTCGGTCCCTGCTGTTACAACCCTGCTGCAAAGAAAATTAGTGTCACTGGGGGGCTTACCTAAGCCACCAACAGGTGCTGTAGCTGGGTATTAGAATAGAATAGAATAGAATAGAATAGAATAGAATCACTTTGGTTGGAAAAGACCTTTAAGATCATTGAGTCCAACCTTTAACCTAACCCTGCCATCCCACCACTAAACCATGTCCCTGACATCCCTATTATTTGCCCCAAATCATGTCACTTCACTGGGGCTCGACAAATCCCCCTCCGCCCCCCGCCAGTGTCAGAGCCCAGCATGAGCTTCCCTGCACCCACAGCCCTGTGCAGGGGGTGCCAACACCACCCACGGGCACCCGCCACCCATGAGCATGGAGAGGGGATGGGCCGCATCTTCTCTACCCTCTCCCTCTGCCAGATTACCTCCTACAGCCCTCTGCCCAGGCTTGGCAAGAGCAGGGGCGCCAACGGAGTACAGCTGGTCTGCTGGTGGGGCCACTCAGGTTGGAGCCATTTCCTCCTCTTCTGGTACCACGGCACCAAATTTTGGTAGAGACATCAATGCCTGCTGCTGCATTTGTCCCCCTGCTCCCTGGCTGCTGACAGCAACATTTGGGCTCTTCCTGTAGCTCCTGAGCTGGCCGACCTTGAAGGAGCAGAAGAAGAAAACCCTGAGCTGCTTGTGGACAACCAGACCTGGCTGGATGGGGGGAGTGATCGCGAGGTGGGGAAGGATGCGCAGTTGGGGCCCAAGCGCCAGGCACGGCAGCTCACCGAGGAGGACCTGCCTGTCAATGACTACGTGAGTGTGGGGGATTGCACCCTGGGTGCCCTGGCCATGGTCCCGGGGTGTGTGCTCCTGGGGTGATCTGTGCATGCTCCTGGGGTGACCTGTCCATGCTCCCGAGGTGTTCTGGCTGTGCTCCTTGGGATGTCCTGTCCATGCTTCCTGGGATGTCCTGTCCATGCTTCCTGGGGTGTTCTGGCCATGTTCGTGGGATGTCCTGCCCATGCTGCTGCGGTGTCCTGCCCGTGCTCCTGGGGTGACCTGTCCATGCTCCCGAGTTGTCCTGGCTGTGCTCCTTGGGATGTCCTGTCCATGCTCCTGGGGTGCCCTGTCCATGCTCCTGGGGTGCCCTGTCCATGTTCCCGGGGTGCCCCAACCACATGTTCCCCTCTCTGCTCTGACACTGGCTCTTCCCGGCAGTCGGAGAATGGGCTGGAGTTCCATCCCTTGTGGGACGAGCGAGGCTACTGCTGTGCCCAGTGCCGCCGTGCCAACCGCTACTGCCGGCGGGGGTGCGAGCCCCCCCTCGGCGACTGCCCCC